GTGAGAGAGAGACCAGTTGTCCACAGTGTCTCTTATTAAAAGGCCACACCCCCAAGGAGACAGTTGGACTTCACCCTTACTTTCCTACAGTATAAGCAAGTTGACACAAAACCTAACCATCACAGGTCCTTATTACCTTCTGCGATAGAAGAGGCAAGAAAGGTTTTTGGCTCTTGGAACAGAAGCAAAAGGCCACCAAAAATGGATAAATACCCAACTCTCCTCTTCTTCATATTGTTTTTATCAGAAGGGCAGTGGCCAGTCAGTGGTAGAGTTCCCATCTTCCATATGGAAGACTCCGGTTTGGTGCCCAATCCTTGCACCTCATACAAAGAGTACACTCCCATGATGTTAAGAGTACATCCCATGATGCTTAATGTTGAACAGGTTTCTTTCTGTGTTAGTCTGGGTAGACGAGAAAAACAAATTCATAAACACCCATGTGTATGAGAAAGAGTTTTATATACAAGAGCAATTAAATATTGAGAAAACATCCCAGCCAGTCCAGATCAAGTCCATAAGTCTGATATTAGCTCAGATGTCTGATACCAATCTATAAATTCCTCTTCAGACTTATGCAATACTTGCAATGAGGCCAAATGCGGGAAGATCACAGGCCAGTGGGTGGAAAGTCCGTGGATCCAGTGGCAGTGGAAGTATCTCAGCACTGGCAGGGGTCTCCATATGGCTCCTTCAGCTCCAGGGCTCTAGGGTAACTCCATGTGTCTTCCCAACAGGAATGTCTCACAGGGAGTGTGCAAGTGTCCCACCTCCAGTGATCTATTTATCTCCTTGGGAGCTCCAAGTGAGGTCATCAAGCGGTGACCTGATTGACAGGCTACACTCCGCCCCTTCACTCTGAAGCATCTCAAATTGACCACAGATTATGTAACCACCACACTCTCCTTGAACAGGTTTCCATGGAGCTTCCAGACTAAGACCTACTAGGAAGAAAGACCTGATGATCTATTGATGAAAATTAGTTTCTCTCTCCCCTGGTCCCCAGTTCCTCTTTCCTCTGGCCGTCGCCCCTCTCCCCTGGTCACGCTCTCCCCTGTCCCCTCTCCTCCTGTCCTCCTTCCCCGCTCCCTCTCCCCTTCCATTCCCACCTTCCATATCCCCACATGGACCACCAAGCTGGGCTGAGTCTTTCAAATCATCCTGACAAATCCTGATTCGCTGCAGCCCTGGACGACAGAGAGGCACTACCCAGAGGACTTCCTATCCTGTGTTCTGTATCGGAGCAGAGCACTAATTCTTTAATTTGTTTTTTTATCATTTTATTAGGGGCTCATACAACTCTTATCACAAGCCATACACACATGAATTGTGTACAGCACATTTGTACATTCATTGCCCTCATCATTCTCAAAACATTTTCTCTCCACTAAAACCCCCAGCATTAGGTCCTCATTTTCCCCCTCCCTCCCTGCTCCCCCCTTCCTCATGAGCCCTTGATAGTTTATAAATTGTTATTTTGTCATATCTTGCCCTGTCCGACGTCTCCCTTCACCCACTTTTTTGTTGTCCGACCCCCAGGGAGGAGGTCACATATAGTTCCTTGTAATTGGTTCCCTCTTTCCTACCCACTCCCCTTCTACCCTCCCAGTATTGCCACTCACACCACTGGTCCTGTAGGGCTCATCCGCCCTGGATTCCCTGGCTTTTCAGTTCCTATCTGTACCAGTGTACATCCTCTGGTCTAGCCAGACATGCAAGGTCGAATTCGAGTCATGGTAGTGGGAGCAGGGAGGAAACATTTAGGAACTAGAGGAAAGTTGTATTTTTCATCATTGTTACATCGCACTCTGACTGGCTCGTCTAATTCTTTAATTTGGCAGATGAATTTGAACCTCCAAATCTTCTGTTAACAGAAAGATACACGAAAATGGACAAGAAATCAGTATAAGCTTTAAGACTGTAATAAAATGTTTGTTTGGAAACGAGTATTTCAACCTGGTATATTTATAAGCTTCTAAAGATTGACTCCTTTGTGTTTGAACTCATTGTTCATTAGCATTATGTCTGCTCAAAAAAAAAAAACGTAGTCAATGAAAACTCCGTGGATCCATATAGATCCATCCGCAACTGTTTCATTACAACAGTTCATCCGCAACTGCAGTGGTGAGGGCCGGAGCAGCATGTTGTTCCTTGTGTTTGGGGCCACCACGAGTCGAGGACGAGTGGTGTGTCCTCTAACAACAACAACAACCAGTAGTGTGTTGGACAGACAATTGACTCTGCAATCTAACTACTGTCAGAAAGAACTTTCCTTTTCCCTCGACAAGAGAGAATGCAATAAAAGCTAGAACACGTGGAAAATAGGTGAAAAGGAACAACCAACGGTAGATGTTAAACTTGACACTAACTCCATCCGCAGGAGGAAGGACACCTTCATGTCAAATTACTTAAGGGGAATGAAACCAATTTTATCTTGGCAGGTATTTTGCCCAGATTTATTGAAGCCTCAAGGTCTTTGGAGAAGGACATGATGCTCGGCAAGTAGAGGGTTGGCACAACAGAGGCAGGCATTCGGTGAGGTGGATTGGGACAGTGGCCGCAACAGTGCACTGCAACACAGAGGACTGAGAGGATGGTGCAGGACCAGGCAGTGTTCCATTCTGTTGGCCATGGGAGCCTACTTGACAGCCCGTAACAACCTAGCTCGTAAGGTGTGCATAGCAAGTGAACTCGTTGGTTGACTTCAAGTTCATTTTGCAGCCTGTTGATACGAATGGGCTCAGTTCGACATTACATTCTTAAAATTATAGCTTTTCACGGGGAGATGGGGGTAGGCATTGTTAGGATTTTCCTCTGATGGTGGTGGTGGCCAACTGCTAACTGGGGCTCTGAAAATCTTCAAGGTCAAAACCTTCTCAGGCATGCCCTCTGCTGTGCAGCTTTGAGGTCTTGCTTGTGTTTTGTTTACATGCTGGGACAAATCCAGAGACTTTCTGAATAGAACCCTGTCTTAACCTCCAAGATTAATTTCTAGCCACCTCCATCATTAAAGTGGCTGCCTCACCAGGACAGAGTGAATATCAAAGGACAGGATGGCAGACTTGGTGAGAACAGAAAGACAATATTAGCACACCCAAACACCTATTCTCTGCCTTTTGTGTAATTATCGAAGGTAGCTCCTGCATTCGTTTATGATGTTCCCGGCACTCAGAGAAAATAGAGAAACATGCTTAGTAATAAGATCCATCATGTCCATATGGATTTCTAAAGAATACCTATTCAAGAGACGGGACTCCTTCCCTTGTTGAATTTCAGCAAAAGAACATCCTGTGATGTGAGGGTAATGTTTTCAGCAGTTTCACGTCAGCAAACACAGTAAGATGTTTACCACAGACATTTATTACAATGCTTCTGAGGGCAAGCCAAATACATAATAAAGAGCAGTTTTGTGAAGGCAACTGTTATTTTAATTTGTACTTGTGGTTACTGGCAAGTTTGAACATTTTGCATGTTTAGGGACCATGGACATCTGGAGATGCATGTGTTTGTGCAGCATATGTGTAAATTATTCACCACGTTCCTTACCCATTTATTCATTGTGTTCAATGTTTTCCTTCTTGACTTCATTGCGTACTCCTAACACTATGAGCTATTGCTCAAGCATCATATTTACTTAAAATGTATTTCTGATTTGTTTTTATGGCATAAGCACGTTCATCTTCTTTCTCGGATCTGCCCAAACACCACCAGATTGTAATATATTGGATAAAATTCAATTTAATAAGAATTTATCATATGAGAATCATTTGGACCATGGATGATCCCAGTAAAAAAATGGATGGATGAGCATAATCTATCAATAGCCTGGGAGAGTGAGCATCCTTGGACTTAGTTGGTTTAGGACAGTGAAGTCTACCGTTGCTGTCTTGGGACTGTGGCAAAAGAAAACACCTCATTCCAAAAAGAATGGGTAGCAGTCAACATTAGCTACTTAGGAATGAATTACAAAATGATGGATGGTGGGCTTAGAGAGTTTGAATAAAGCTGTTTGCTGAAATACTCTGGAAAAATATGTCAGGGTTTCCACATTTTGAAAAGAAAGCAGTCTTCAGTGTATACCACGCATGCATCATACGCACTGCCCACCAAGAAAACAAGAGCTGGGGGATCTGCATGCCCAAGTAAAGCTGCAAGGAGCTGGTGGAAGCTCCCTTTCATTCTTAGAGGCTGATAGTCCAAAGGGCAATGGGGCATCTTACTGATTTTCCAATTCACCCAGGGATGTGTACTCAATGCTATGAATACTGAGGATATCTCTAGAGACTTGTCTTATCCTTTCCAGAAAGTATTAATGTGCACTCTTATGTCCCAAACAATAATAATTCCTATCTCCTTCAAAGGAAAAAAAATCTTTCTAATAGGAAATACGAAATGTGAAAGAGAGAGAGAGAGAAGTAAAAGATAACAGGGAAATGGTGCAGAGGACGGCACTATAAATTGTTCCAAAGGTGACCTTGGAAAGACCATCCTTCTTTTTTGGTTGTGTATGGGGGTCAGACTCCTTGAACACCATTTTGGCTCTACCCCCCCCCCCAACCCCATCCCCCATGTCTGTGCTCTGTGACCTTATACAGTTGCATAGCCTCTCAAAGCCTCAGTGCTTCATCTGTAAAGGTAGGATAACAATATGACCCCCCAGAGGTGTGAACAGGTGAAGGGAAGCAATCTGAGGCCCGTAACACCATAACACACACGGTGCCAGGATCACAGGAAGTCCTCAGACCGCGGTCAAGGACAAGAATCGAGCCAAGGACAGTAAAGCGTGTCCTATTGGTGATGGATGGTGCAATGATCTCGTGAATTCCTAGGAGGAACTAAGGTATTCCTTTTTAATCACAGGCGAGCTACCGGATTGTAAATTAGAGCAGTGATACCCGACCGCCTGATGTTTCATACACTGAGACAACAGAGGACGTGCTTCTCTCAAGTGATGTCACAGTTGAAGGCCATTGTCGGGGAGAATGATGAGAAATTGGCACTCAAGTTAGCATGGGTTTTTCCTCAAAGACCCTTTGCAGGACTTCTTTTAAGGACTTCCTGCCCTTTCTCCTTCTGATACTGCCCACCACAAAATAAACAATGGGGTTGACGCTGCAATTGATAGTGGACAGCATATTCAAGTAAGGGAAGAAGTCCCACACAGACTCATCACTGCTGTAGTAAGCCACAATGAGCAGGACCTTCAGAGGGATGGCAAAGACAAGGAACAGGACCACCGTGGCGGTGACGATCACATAGAGTTTGGCTGGTTGGCGTGGTTTCCGGTTACAGCCAACTTTGACAAAGAGGATCAGATTGGAGAAGACCATGAGACAGACAAAGACAAAGGTCAAGACGCATGAAAAGATGTACACGTCTCGGCATTCTGGAAGTTGAGGCTCCAGCTGAAAGACACAAAAGAAGTTCTCTAAGCCTGACACAAGGAAAGAGTGTGCCCACAGCACGGTGCAGCTCACAGCCGACTGGTGCTTGGGGCGCCGGCATTGATACCAGATGGGGTAGAGCACGGAAAGGCACCGTTCCACGCTGATGGCAGTGAGGAGGTGGAGACCCGTGTTGTAGCCGAAAATCTCCATGTAAATGATGTACTTCTGGAGGTCTTCACTAGAAAAGTTTATCAGCTGCAAGATAATTGTAGAGAGGAGGACCATGAAGTCAGCCGTGGCGAGGTGCAGAATGTAGACCGTGAAAGGCTTCCTTTTGATGTAGAAGGTGAGAAAGATGATCATCAGTCCATTGCCCCCTATTCCCAGGAGACAGATGAGCATGGGAATGTAGATGTAAGTGCTCATGGAAAGGGTCTCTATGGAGGGCTCTGTGGACCCACCTGCTTTATCCAAGGATGAGTTTCTGGTGTAGAGCGTGGGTTCCACAGGACTCAAGGTCACTTTAAATAGCTCCATTCTTGGGAAAGGCCTGGTCTTCTGTGAACCTGTTGTCAAAAACAGATAGCGCTTATGGGTGCCATTTGCTTCACATCTATGGGACATTATTATCGCCCTATGTACAGTGTCTATCACCCTCCGTACAGTGTCTGTCACCCTCCATACAGGGGGGTGGAAGGGAGAAAGAGACCCAGCTGCTGTGTCTCGCCTTCCTTTTTTGTCCCTCTTTCTCCCCTTCTATGGTTGCTCCACCCAGACAGGACCCTCTGAGATCTCCGTATTGTCTTCACTGAGCAGCCAGCGGTCATTGTCTCAGAGCAGGATCCCGCTCGCTCCTTGGCCCAAGGAAAACCCACTGGCACACAGTTTGTCCCCCAGCTGCGTGAAAGAGATTTCCTAAAGGCTCTTACCAGAAGCAGCTAGTAGAATCTAGAACTGGATGATTAAAAAGCGACAACAACAAAAACAGAACCTAGAACTGGACACTTATTTTAAAATGCACCGGCGTGTAAAAGAAAGTAATTGTAGAGGATTTAGAAATGGGTTGATCATTTCTGTCCCACCATTCTTTCCCCACTTGGTCCCATTCTCTCTCCTCTGTGCCCTGGTTCTGAGCTTGTAATGTCTATAGTGTCCCCTGAAAGTCCATCCATTAGACACAATACATGTGACCGGTAGCTGGCCATGGCACCTTCTCTGACCCACTGAGAATTGTCCACGTGGACTGAACTAAGAGGAAAAGCTAGTCATAAGTGGGGGCATTGTGCAGGAGCAGGAAGGGGAAGAGAAAGATGTGCTGTCGGAACTGGGCCCCAGGAGGGCAAGGCTCCTTAAACTGGATCGACGTGAAGGTGTGTGGTAGCCCTTGTGTCCACAGATTTCACTAGATAGTGTGACTTCTGGATTGTCACCATTTCCCATTACTCAAGTGTTGCCTGGATGATGGCCTGACCCCACCCGACTGTGGTGTGGGGAGGAAGCAGAGGTCAGGGAAGACTTTATAGAGCAAGTGGTACACTACGGTGACATGAGGAGGGCTGCTCCTTATCAATTCTTGATAAGAAGGGACAGGCAGTCCCATGGTGGTGGATGGGCACTGTTTTCAAGGCATCTGTCCCCCTACTTTCTAGAGTTTTGCTCAGTTGTCTTGGGCAGTGGGTGGACTCTTAACGTTTATGGTACCTGGCGTCTGTAACTGAACCTCTCTGTAGGAATTGCTACTAGAGAGACTGTCCAAGTGGGGAAAGGCTCACCCAGGGTCTTTCCTTGCACCCCCACAGCCTCTTCCACCGGGCTGATCCCTCTTTTGCTTTCTGTCCTTCCTCAGACCCGGGAGTTAGCTCTCTCCTTTCCCTTCCCACCACAACTGAGCCCAGTTGTCGGTGAGCCTCTCCCATCGCTCACGCCCCCTTGTGGGCTTCCCCTTGTGCTCACACAGGCACAGGAAACTCTGAGCACTTCCTAAGGGGTTGCCAGGCCTGGTTTAATGGTGGCGCGTGAGCCAACGGGAAGGTGACAGTTTCTGGAAGAGTCTGGTCTGCACACGCGCAGTCCTTGGCTCCAGCCTTTCTTCCTCTCTCTTTTTTGAATCTGCTAACTTGTCAGTTTATTGATGTGGACCAGATACATCAACTCTGTGTAAGATCGAAGGAGTGTTTTTCCCCTCTCAGAATAAATTAATCTCTTTATCACATAAAAGCCCCTTTTTTTAAAGCACAAAGTGTGGATATGACTAGGTAAACGACACACAAAATAAAGCACATGGAGGGTTATGATTTGTTTTAGTGTGCTAGCTAATAACTAAAACAAAAATTAAGAATTTCCATGCTTCATGTATGGCATGGGCGTATTGGCTTAATCCAAGCAGAGTCAACAACGAAATAACCTATTTAGCTAACGCATGCAGCTCTTCTTTCTCCACCCAACAAAGCACACACTCTCCACAGGCAGGAGTCTCCGCTCCAAGGTCATTTCCACAAAGGGCATGACGTTTCTTGATTGTAAAAATAATATAGATGAATTTTATAAACTGTAGACAATGCAGAAGAAAAACAAAAGGAAACTATCAGGGGGATTGGGCAAACGACACGGAACAATTTCCCGAAGAAGAAATAAATGTAAAGTACTCCACAAACAGATGACAGCAATCTAACCTTTATGCTTTGGGTGGCTAACTGAAAGGTCAGCAGTTCAAAACCACCAGCCACTCCTCTGGAGAAAGGCTAGGTACTTGAGGTCTCAGAAACTCACAGAGGCTGTTCTACTCTGTCTTCCAGGGTCCCTATGGATCAGAATCGACTTAAAAGCCCTGGGGTCTCGTGTTTGTCTCCTTGCTGCCTCTTCCCCACCACTACCACCCGAAGAAGAGTGTGTCTATTGCTGCGTGGAAATAGTTCCCAGCAGCTACAACATAAGCGCTTTTCTTCCTGCCTTTTTAACGTAAGCTTTTTGTTTTTTCTATCCGTAGTTTACTGCCATTAAAACTTCTTTAAAAATATGATTGCTGATGATGAGCTAATGTGCTAGTTTATCTTTTGGCTATTTTTCATTTTCAAACGTTCTGGATAGGAAACATTTCCCCATAAATAGCTGTGGGGTGCACCTGCTTGGGTACACAGCTTTCCCTACACGGGGACCTCTGATGGCTTTCTGGGGGGAGACCACTTCAAGCACAAAGCCTTGGGGAGGCATTGGGCGCGCCCACAGCTGATGCCAACCGCCATGCACGGAAAGGCCAGAGGCCCCAGTGCATCGAGGGGCACTTCTGAAGAAAGTTCTGGCGACCCAGCCCTGAGAAACCAGCCACTGAAGACCCCGTGGAGCACAGCGCTCCTCGCACACGCAGGAGGCTGCCACCAGTCGCCATCCACGTGGTGGCCACTGGTAGAATGGTCTCAACGCTACAAATGACTATGAGGGAGAAGGACGTCTGGTCCTGAGCATGGGCTTTGGGGGTCCGAAATTTGGATTTGAATCTTGACTCCAGATTACTCGTTGTCTTATCTTAAGGTGGGGAGACTCCCGGTGGCATGGATGGGTAAGCACTGGACTCCCGACAGAAAGGCTGGTAGTTCGAACCCAGCTACAGCAGAACCCCAGAACTCGACGCCAATCCGTTCTAGGAGTGTCGAGATGGGAAGCAGTCGGGTTCCGAGTCAATTTTTCCCATAAGAAATAACTGAAAATGGATTAATCTGTTCTCGACCACCAAGTTTTTACCCTAAGCTTGCCCTTTTTATACTAAACATTAGACAGACATTTGAAATTAATAACTTCAGAGTTAAATAATATAATTTAAATAAGAAATACAGCATTAAAAAGGTTTTTAACAACTACAGATGGCCCATACCTTGAGACTGATGCGGATCTGGATCTGTGGACACGGACGTGGAGAGGAGGGATGGAGAGAGAGTCACTGTTTGGAAGGGGAATCCCCTTCCATACAATCAACTGGTCGCTGCTTTTCAGGAGTCCCCGCCCCCCTTTGCCTTTTTTCACTAGGAACTGGCTGGCTTTCTCTAAAAAAAGAAATCTGTCTAATGTGGTCTGTTGTTGGTGTTTCCTTAACTGTGATCAATAAATTATGATCAATAATTTATGATAAATAAATAATAAAATGTATGATCAATAATATCGATAATACAGTTAACCTTATCACGATGATTCTTTTTAAAAAACTTTCACTTAGAACCCATGTTTTTTATGTAAAAACAGTACAAAAAGCCACAAAACTAAAACAATTATAGTAAAACTCTTAAACACAGTTGCAAAAGGTCTAAACAATGCGTATCAGCAACGCCAACAAACGCCAAGTGACCAAAACATGAACTGTTTTTGTTTACAAAAATCGGGTGTGCCGGGTTGGATTCTGATGTTTTGTTTGAGCTCCAATGCAAAGTTTTCTCAACATTCTGCATTGAAATCTGATTGTGTCGACTACTGACGTGGTCGAGTACCAGGGCTCTACTGTAGAGGCACCAGGAAGCAAGGCATGGCAACCTTCCCAAAGGCCTTGCAAACTGTATGAACCACAGTTCTGCACAAACATAGGCTTTTCATGACTCAGAACTGATTTGATGGCATCTGGGTTGGTTGGGCGAAGTGGTTAATCTTTAAGCCTCAGTGTGACACATCCACACCCAACTCATGGCCACTGCATCAAGGCCGGCTCAATCGACCCTACAGGGCAGGGTAGAATTGGCCCCCTGAGTTTCCCAGATTGCAACTCCTTAGGAGAGGAGACAGTCCAGTTTTTCTCCCGAGGAGTGCTGACCTGGCAGATCGCAGGTCACCCTCCACCATCAGGGGTCCTGAGTTTAATAAATACTCAGTAAAATAGTGTTTAAAATGAATATTTTAATACTATTTTACCTTTATTCTCTTTTATTTACTATTTCAACTTTATTGTAATACTATGTTCTGTTTTACATCGAAACTATTTTCGATGAGGCAGTTACGAAAACCAAACCTACCCCCTGTTGTTACGTGCCGTGGTCAGGGCCTGACCACTGTGCGGGCTCATTGAAGGCAGGCTTGGCATCCTGAGACATGTCGGAGCGCAGATGTGTCACTCATCTTTGCTAGAATTACACATTCTCCCCAAACAAGACAAATATTGCCTATTTCATATGACAAAAAATGCTATCTGCAACTCAATTCACATGTTGGACGACTGGTGACACTGAATATTTTTTATATGTGTTCCGGAAGGAAGATGAGGCTGTCTGATCCAGTAGAGATTTACAGCAGCCCCAGGGACAGACACACATCTCCCCGTTGTCTTGGTCATGAATGTCTATCAGAATGCAGCGAACATCAGTGTGGGAGTGCCCACCTGGCTAGGGTGACCGCAGGCATGGTGACATTGCATGGACTATTCTGATTACCCTCTCCCACTCCCCTGTGAGGTAATGCTCTCCCGGAAAAGGGTTATTCGTGTCGGACAAATAAGGGAGTGGGAGACGGGCTACAAGCAGTAGACGTCATTCTGCTTCAGTGTGTAGGAGGCCTGACGGCAG